GCGGCATGACGCAATCTCAGTTCTAGAAACAAGACCCGTCCACGCGAATACAGATTACCTCCAACGCAAAATCACAACTGAAGCAAAGAAAACATTTCTGAGTTTCTCCACAGAAACTATGCAACCACCCAGAGCGTCCCTCATGTATGCAGCCAACTCAGGGGTTACACTCCGAGGGTTCCATAACAAGTTTTTCCCCACCGAGCTTGCCATTCGGGGGGGAGGGGGGTGTCTTCCCACCGGCTTCCACTGTTCTGCCTTGCACATTCGTGTTTTGCCATCTCTGGGATTAGACATCGCAGACCACCAACGCGATTCCTTGGCCATCTCTCGGACCTTAGCCTCTGCGGAAAACCTAGGGACTGTCGTCACTACAAACCAGGACTTCCAAGGTCCGGCTTGCCGCGTCCTCCATCACGATGTTGGGGTGCACTCAGAAATGGCCTTAGACGCTGTTGCGTTTGCTATTTCCCTGTTCCCTTGGCCGCCCCGCTCTGACACCATCGTCCATCACGCTGCGACCTTTGGAACTTAAGTGTACTCTAAAGAGTAAAAATATCCAACCTGGTTTGATCTACTCCTATGTCTTCCAGGGCGGTCACTTCCCTTCGAGCGTCAAAACCAAAATTTTGCACCCATTTCACATCTCCCTACGCATGATACATAAATCTCATTCCCACTGACGACAATTTTTAAAGCTACTTGGGCAACAGTTGCTACAGACTGAACGGCAGATTTGATATCAGGTTTACGTGTCGATACGTCACACGAAGGAGGGAGGTAAAGGGAGAAGTTCAGCGGCCTTCATATGAAAACCCGCGTTAAAATTAGCTCAGTTTAGTAGACTACTCGTGAGAACGAACAGAGCTACTGTCACTTGCGTTACAGAGGCCACTCCTTTACCGGGGATGTCTGACTGCTGGATAAAAGGCAAACTGGGAGTAGCATGATTCTAACAAATCGACTGCGAAGATACGCAAATATCGATAAATGGGACAGACGATTTCGAGGCCAAGAACCTTAACGGCCACCGTCTAAAAATAAATCAAGAACACTATGTCGAAATCACATACATATAAATATAACTAAGGCCGTTATTTTGTCAAATGGATAACAGATGAGGTTTCCTGGGGCGAACAGCGGCTTGACCGTGAACTGATCACTAGAGAACGCGTGGAACATTACCTCCGCTCCACTTACACACGTGGGAAACACGCCGTCACCACGCCAGCCGTAAGAGATAGCTACGTCGGCCTGGCGGTTGTGGGGAAGGCACGTAACAGATTAGTTTGCTTTGCACTGTCGGCGTTCCACTGCGGTAATATGATGCAAACAAAAATAATAGCGCACGCGTACACATGTGAGAAACTTCACTAAATCTCAAACAAACACAGTTCCCCGGAACTGCTATGCCAATACATTACACCCCAAGCAAAAACTAGTACAGCAAAGTCCTTCCCGTCTCCTCCAGGAACGTGCACATGGACCTACGATCGAACTTTCGATTTCGCGTTAAAGAAAGCTACAATATTCTGTAGTTATCGACATACACTACCATAAACAAGCCTGTACACGTACAGCGAACATGGAGAGATGAATGGTTCAAAATCTACACGCCAATCCGTCAACACATACGTCATTAATTAAGTTGTATAGTTATTCTGCGGTTTGGGGGCCTCCCCCCCTCGCTTGGCTGACAACACGCTCATTATACAACCATGATTCGTAAATTCAGAGACATAATTTCCGCTTTACTTTCATATTAAGCTAGAAAGATGCGGTATTGACGAAATCCGGATTAAAATAACCCCTTTAAATTCTACACTGCAGACATAATGTGAAAAACAAGACAGGCAGTTCCTACAACATTAACAATTAAGCTTACCGCCACAATACACAAATTAACCGGTTAATTTACGAGCAGAATACGGGGCAGCGCGAAGTTCAATGGTAAATCAAAATAACCGAAAAGACAGGCAAAAATATTTGAATAAAAATCCACAAAATATATCACAATGTTATGCAAATTAAGGTTCGAAAGCCTACACAAAATGAATAAAAAAATTTGACTGTCAATGTAAAAATCAACATTTCCCCTGTCTAAACGTGAATGCAGCTGTCACAACACGCATCCAAAATATCACCGATGCCCCTGAAAGTTACTTTAGAACGCCCCAAGACTGAAAACTGCAGCATCCATCAGCGTTACGTAATTCCCGACCATCATCGAGGTCATAAATTTAATAACGACATATCGACTAGAAATGTCAACACCTGCTACGGCTGAAATGAGGAATGGAACGGATGGCTTAGAATGGTAAGGAAAACGGGAGAGATGCGAGACTTCCATCCACATCCTCGCAACATAATATTCACGCGATGCGGGCGGGATTCTTTACCGGAAGTTTGTCGAGGGACTAAACTTACAGACGCTTACAAAACGTACTAACTGGAAACTTACAGACCGCAATAAATAATGTTTACTGTCTGCTACATCAACATGTCCATCATCACAGGGTGAAAGTAGGCGGCACAAACGGAACCAATCTGGCAATGCGTCTCATGTTTCCAACAGTAACTTCCGAATCTCGGGTGAGAAATGAAGAGACGACCTTCGCGTCGTGCCAAAGGAATTTCTGGTGGGCCCCGTCCGCGCCGACAACCCTATTTCCAGCGACAGCATACATTCTAATCGATCTGCATACCCACATTCTTTCACTCATTCGCATGAATTCCAACATCCAACTTCATCATAACCGGGCTAGCTGAAAAGTGTCATCACTCATCCGGTGAGTACACTCAACAATCAATAAACCGCGGTGAGTAGACGTCAAAGCATACGCAACGGTAGGTTGAGCAGACTACAAACCGGAATGTACAGATGTCAATAATATCGCGTTCCTGCACGAAGTGTTAAAACGGGGGAAAAGATAGTTTTAGATACACGATGTGTTTAAAGACTATGCCGGAATTTCGAGTTTCAGAACCCACAGCCTAGACGTAGCCGATTTAGACTACTACATTACTGTACTTTACAAGTACCATGAGTAAGTCGAGGATGCGGCTGGCGTGTCCGTGTGGGGGGAAAAAAAATTCTGTTGGAAAACCTGAACAGAAATGTCAACTCCGAAGACCCACGCGTTGGGCAGCACTCAAGATGGAACCGCTACCAACAACTCCACGCGAAAGCTCAAAATACAAGACCGAAAACCAGTCCTTGACCACAAGACCAAAAATCTACCTCGGTGGTACGTCCACTGGAAAGCTGTAGACTAGACCGACCCGCGATACGGCGACCACATGTCGGAGAGGGTACAGACCGAGGCTCCCTTCGTACGCACATAACAAAAGACTTGTTCTGGTGGGGGGGTAAAGCAAGAACCAGCTTGCCCTACGCTGAACGCATTATGCAGATTAGCGCAAAGCCAATGACGCAAATCCGACCAGCTGGAAAACACAGGCCCCGATTTGTGAAGCTACCACACAATATTAAACCATCACATTCACAGCCTCTGGCAAAAACATCGAGAAAGAAGACGAAACTTCGGTCTAACAGAACGAAGGATCGATTTCCTTCTCCGTCAAACGTTCCGATTAATCTCTTCAACATTACGGCCCGGAAAATAGACGCCGATATCACTTCCACCCCCAGAAGAATAAAAACAGGGGGGGGGGGGGGCGAGGACACCTCGCGAGGCCGACAAGATTTCTGTGCCAAGCTCCGAAATACGCGGAACCTTGGGACTCGGCGTGCGCATGGCAAAGTGCGTATTTACTGTTGGTCCCGTTCAATGATCAGAACAGACGGTTAATATGAAACGCATGAGGTTTTAAAACATACAACAACGAGGTCATGGCTGCCTCCATCATCAAAGCCACCCATCGCCCTGATGAAGGAGTCAGGATTGATCTCCGAAACGCTGGCAAAATTCTACCAGACTACACGGCGCTACAACCCAGAAGACAATCACCTTTGTAATAATAATCTATAAATTGAGAAGCTACAGAATACGGTCATTATATTGTCCATACTTAACAGATCGAAGTCACTAACGTTCACTGTCCACGGTCAGCGCGTTTCTTGCAGGAAATTATAAATTGGAACTTGTAACAAGACAAGTAATGTTTAATCTTTTAATCTTTGTTGACAACCAAATTACGCCAAGTCTGCCTTCACAAAAACAAAGCATGATTTGTACACTTATGCGCTCCTCATTTACGTCGTTTCGGTAATTTCTAACTTTAACGTGTCTAAGCGGCCAGCAGCATGCAACATGACGAACAAAGCGTCGCGTTGAACCAAGTGATCGTGAACAACGTCGTTACAAACGTCAGGCATAAATAAATTACAGTCTTACGAGTATTTCATAACCTATGAGTGCAAAATGCTCATGGGAAAATGTTTCTTTCATTTATGAGGCGTTCTTCCACGAAGCTTCTACAGCGAAAATAAAAAAAAATAACTATGAAGATAGAAGTCTTCTAGGTTACAGCGCCTTGTAGTCTGGTAGAAGTTTCCCCACTGGACTGGTTCCTATGTCTCACACAGATTCCCCCCGCGCGGCTTACTCCTCGCCCTGACGATGGAGGCAGAAAGGACCTCCGAAACGTTTGTCAACTTCCACCAGATCAGAAGGCGCTAGAACACGAAGACAGCCATCTTCGTAGTCACCGCCGTGAGAACCTCGTTCTTACCGGACAGATAGATATACCCTACGCTGGCAACAAGTGTCTCGCCCGGAGCTTAATACTCAATGCACAAGAAAGTAAACACGAGAGCAGCCAGAGGCGAGGAGAGAGACTAGAAATATTTCAGACCCTCAAAACACAAAGCACTTCAGTCTGAGAACATTCTTCTTGTTCCAACACGTGACCAGTAGAAGTCGATTCTAGGAATGGTCCAACGTTTCATCGACTCCTTGCTACCTCCATCATCGGGACTTGCAGAATGCACGGCGCAACATGCCAGAGGACAGACGCCTTTAAAATTCCGTACTCACCGGACGTACTCCAGGTAGAATCTCTCCACATCTGATGATCATTCAGATTCAGAATCCCTTTCGTATCATCTTTCTGTTCCTCGACTCCCCATAATTTCTTGGCAGAGGGCGCAATCTAAAAAAAAAGAAAGAACATTTTAAACATCTGTTAACTGCAACACAAGCCAAGCCGATAGCAGGTCATCACGACTGTCGGGGCGCATACCGAATGCACAAATGGTACTGCCAAGTACATGAAGACCAGGTGAGATTTCTGGTCCCCAATGCGACGGATATGAAAACTGTCCTGCGCCATACAGTCTCGTAGAAACTGACCGACGTTTCGGACGTGGTTACTGCCGTCATCGAGCATTAAGCACCTCTGAAACGTCAGACAACTTTTCCAAAACTGCACGCCGCAACGTGCCGTATGTCATCTCCACATTCTACGCCGTGAGAACCTAAAATCTTACAACAGTACTAAGTTGCGAAGGAAGGGCAAGTACCACCGACGTCGAGGTAACAGCACGACTTCTGCATGAAGTCAGGACGACGATGACAATCATTACATCGTAGGACACGCATTTAAATGGGCAGTTTAATGTTATAAACGAACGTTTCCTTACAAAACTGACAAAAGTGGCGTAAAATGAAATATTTATCAACGTGAGAAGCAGCTAGCGCGGCCATAATCGCCACGTGGTTACTGAACCAACGCGCCAGAGCACGCCCATAACACAAATATAAGTCATTTTTGTGTGCGCTGCAGAAATTGGATTCTATCCGTCCAGAACGCAAATCCGAAATGAGCAGTAACACGGGACATAACGAAGAAAATTAGGATTCCCGAATCAAATCACGCAAGCGAGAAACCGCTCTCTGATAAAGTAAACCACGATCACATCCCACGACACGCCCATTATCCGAACACGGTTAACGCACGCAGTAAATTACAATGCGTTCTCTGATACATTTCAATGCAAATGTCCATGTCACAACAAACGTCAATTGGTTTTACTCACTTGACGGTGAGTCATGCAGTTCCAGCCGGAAATTGAACACAGAGGTCCGTGTTTCGGCTGCTCAAAGAACTTCTGGAATACCACTCATGTACTGCTCTTCAGTTTTGGGAATAGCCTAAATCTTACGGGGTCAAACTGACGAATATGGTCGATAGTCCAATTTCAATATCGACTTTCTTGGCCAAAACCTCCCGGACGGTGTGCGCGTCATGAGCACGGGTACTGTCACGATCCGAACATCAAGACAAAGTTCAAGTCTTCTCCGACGAACATACTCGCGCAACCTTGCCAATAATTTCAAATATCAATGGTGGCACGAACGTGTTCAACAAACTCAAAGTGAACAATACCCATGTGATAGAAGACTTGGGCTCGTGAGAGAGTGTCTATTATTCTTTGGCACTTCTATGCCACTCGGACACTCAAAACACCAATGCAATTATTTTTAAACTGTGTCCCTCTTCACGAACAAAGCCAGGCGTTTATAATTTTAGAGCTGACCACTCGATACTCCTGTATCTACATCAATACCAAGAATTATCCGACCCCAAGAAACACACAACAGTTCCCAGTAAATAAAAAAAGGTCCCCTGTCGCTGTTCATCCACGCCGACAGGGTGTGTGGATCGGATATTCGTCACAGACGATGTACCTCCAGCAGCAGAAAGTAATCTGTGCCGCAAAGACGAATTGGCGGAATAAAGCTGACAGCTAAATTGTCAATCTCCTTAATCTAAGACAGGATGTTCTGTTCGGTGAACCTGATGCGACGGAAATGTAAGAACGTATAAAAATTCCTAACACGTTTCAACATCCCAACGCTTTCTTCTCTAATATTTACACTGCCCATAACTTCATTTACATTCAATGCTGTTTCACACCAAAGCCTGGCGTAGGGAGGTTAAAATATGAACAGGCCTGTTAGTGGCACCACGTGACACGCCACAAACGAAAATGCCCACACCTTACGATCCTTACATTGACGCTAGTTCTTACCACAGTCGTATGAATCCAATTTCCGATTCAAATTGGATTACAAGCTACTAACACGAAGGCATACAGAGAATATGACAGACGTCATAAATGCCATTAACCGTGGGTGTATTGAGAACGAACCACGGCAAGCTTCTCATTACCGTTCTTACAGCCTTCAAACGAATAATCTAAACCTTTCAAACCCTGAGCGCATCTACCTGCCAGGATTACAAGGCTAGTGATCTGACCACTAGACCAACGTGGCGGACCTGCGTTATATAGAAATTAAATTTATTGAAACAGGTTCACAATTACATAATATTTTAACGTGTTTTATTTTACGATTACTCAAAATTAAATATAAAATGTAAGTGCTAACGATTATTCTTTAAATACAACGTGAAACATAAAAACGTGAGCGGAGCGGGCCGTTGGTTGAGAACCCACGCTTCAACACAAAGCGACCTGCAGCTGCGAAAGCGTGCAGTACGAAGTCCTCCTACCTCTCCGCATATAAACAGGCCCAGCAAACAAAACGGCTTATAAAGCGAATAGCTGCATCACGTCGTTGAGTTGTATTACTAGATTACTCGGAAAAGAAGCCACTCGAAACATCTGACGCGGTCGTTTTAGCCGTCCAGAAAGAAGACATGTCAACTCTCTCTCTCTCTCTCTCAACTAAAACTCTGCAGCAGGTTGTACGATGTCGTACACAACCGCACGTTATGTACAACCAGCGTACACGGAATGCGCACATTTCGTACGGAGACGATCGAAGGCGCCTTTTCGTACGCGCTGCACAATTTTGGCTAACCTAGACGCACTACGTGACGTTTCGGAGGGATGCTGCTGTTTTATCACAGCACAAACACATGGTCTCAATTCCTTTCGTGGTTTTCTTTCTCGAAATTGTGCTCCAGCTCCCAGTTGCTACTCCTTGGAATCAATTTACTGTTCCGTCAAATGTACGTCTAGTGGGACGTTACGCCGTGTGATATGATAGAAGCAGGGCCTGAGGTTTTCACGGCACGCCGAAATGCTCCAAATCTTATAACAGAAGGTTGAAATGTTTTAGGAATCTTGTCACTTCTGTATTGAACGGAATATCATACAAACTGGCGGTACCATGTCACAGGCTCCTCATAAACTCCGTATAACCGACAGGAAGACTCCATTCCACTAATGTTGCATCCCTGAGGAATCAAACCAGCCTCTTGGCCACTGAATGTCACGACACATACCAACGCCTATGAAAATCACGAAACATGCACCACTGAATTACACGTACACATCCGCATGTACCAAAATCATTACCGACAGAGAATCTGAGACAGCGAGCAACAATTACAGCGGCTGGGGAAAAATTGTTTATAACATGGACAGCACATGCTCCCTTATCTGCTACCCTTCCCAGTCCCTCGGATGCCCACGCCCTTTATTTCTAACGGCCCTCGAATGGACAGATGTACTGAAGGCATAGCAATGTTCTGCGCAGGCACTGAACGTCGTACTAACGCCGTGGAATTTAGGCAACTTCTCCGGCACAAGTGTAAGACAGGTTAGTCTACTACGACGGTCAATGAAGCTAGCGTTTACCTGAAGACGGGATAGCAACAAAGTCACAGTACTAGCAGCGATCGGCAGTATTACTGTGCATGTGTGTATGCCTACGCACGCACATACACGTATGTACAAATATATGTATATGGTATGAATTTCAAGACAGCGGTTAGTATTATGGCCACTACAAATTGTCTTTTGCGACTATTCTGACATTTTTCTTCTCATTTGGCCCTACAACCCGATGTGAGCCTTGGCCTCTGACATAACTACATCAATAACAAATACTTGAATGTTCATTATACTGTGCAAATAAGAGTGAATCCAACATAATATAATTCGAACGTCAGCTATACACTTCTGCAATAACCACCCCCGTCACCGGATCATACAAAACCAGACCAGAGTTATATATTATTGCTTACAATTATAAATATCACAGAAAATTACTAGTGTCAGTGTAACCTCGTCGCCACGTTTGCAATTTTCGAATTGACAAACACGCAACATTTTTAAGCATGTTTTTATTCACTGGTTTCTCACAGGCAATAACAAACACACCTCACGTCTTTCTTGCACTAATACGATCCGAGGTCACCGCTGGGCGTCAGGCCACTTTTGTGCTGAAAACCATTCGATGTCATTGATACAACAATGTTCCAACAATCACCCCATCTCTTTCGACTGTTCCGCAACGATGCCCACGGTCACGGGCCCATAAAGAGTCTTTCGCCAAAAAAAAAAGGTTGTACTTGGAACCCACAAAGGAGTCTCAGTCAAAATGCACCCAGCATTTAACTTTGTCATCATCAAGAACAAAAGTTAACAAATGTACATGGTCTTCGTGTCCGACAAAAACACACAGTGACTGTGAATTAGCTTAGAGAGAGACATAAAAAGATACAGGCAGCAGAGAGAAGAGTAGAGAGTGAACGGAAGACAAGGAAAGAAAGAAAGAGTTGGTCGGGATAAAATTAAAGGGGGTGACCTTGGCATCACTGGTTCAGTGTTCACATTCAGGGACAATGGCCGAGCAGATCGTGCTGTGCAGCGCCATCTGCGAGTCGTGACTCAACTAAAACCCACACACCAAGGCACATTCCACCATCGTACCTCCTGCTTTTGCCAATCGATACGGATTGCAGACGAGGAGGAAGGCACAAGCGAAATTCGTATAACTCATAACTCCATGGCGCGAAGTCGTCAAGACATTTCTCCGAACCCGAAAGAATGTTCATTGCAGCGTTCACTGTCCAAATCGGGGTACACCTGACATCCTAATTCTATGAATTCACTTTTAATATTATCCTCCCACCTCCTGAGAACAGACTCCTCATCTGATCTTACGCATTTGCATTCCAAAGGACGGGAACATTTGTGGAATTTATTTCTACAGCGTTCTTTCAAAAACCTTCAAGTGATTAAGCTATTCAGAATAAAAAGCCTTCATAGAAACGTTTCTGTTTTCAGCAGATGAAAACAGAAAACGTGGCTCTCAATCAAGTATTGCATTCCGAAACGTCGAATTTATTACAACAGCGTCGCTGAACGGTCTGAAAAAAAATTCCTTTTATTCCCA